CACAACTCTTCCTAAAATCGTGGAGCATGAATGGCTGAGAGGGGAGGGGCGGGTATTTCCAATACTATAAATACCTTGCTTCTCCTCAGTTCTATTCACTCATCAAATTCTCTTCTTCTCTTCTGCAATGCTGAGCTTCGGTGTTAACTGGTCGAAAGCAACCGGTAAGACTACAACCGTCTCCGGGAAATTTTTGCTTTTAAGGTAGTGTCTTGCACACGTCACCGATCCCTTCAGGATTCATCCATTCTCAGCCTATAAAAAACAGTAGCCCCAGGTCTACGACATATTCTATCCGAATTTTCCCCAACAAATAATTCTCTACATTGAGGAATATGCCCCTTAAGAGAAAAGACATATCTTACATATACCATGGGTTGGGGTAACCATGTTCATCTAGCATTTGAAAACACCCAACACGTCCAAGCAATGTTTAAACTTGTCAGTGGTAACTACCTTTGTAACATGTTTGCTACATTCTCAATGATATGAATTTTCTACAACAAAATCGCACCAGAAGCAACAAACTCTCCAACCTTATGAAACAATATTACATTAATATGCATGGTTTTGACATGATATACTTGATTTTTTGCTAAAAAGATGGCACTTTAACTATCAAATTAAATATAACGGAACTCTACCTTTTTTTTTTTTTCTTTTGTGCAAACGACACATTGTGGTCCGGGTCTTTCTCTGTCCGTTTAATGGTCCAGGTCCACCCGGTTCGCTCCGAGAGACACAACGGAACTCTACCTTGGTCATTACCTAATTCCTTAATCAAACATGAAAGCCACAAAACCTCTTTAACTACCTCAGTCACAACCATGTATGTTGCCTCAGTTGTAGACAGAGCTACAACAGACTAAGCTAATGACTTCCAACAAATAGGACCACCACCAAGAGTAAAAACATACCCGTTGTAGAATGTTTGTTATCTATATCACCAGCATAATTAGAATCCACATATATATCCCATGAGTACAGGCTCACTTAGTTGACTCACAAAATACAATACATGCCCTTAGTGCCCCTTAACTACTGGGTAATCCACTTAACTGCTTTTCAAGTTTAGACATGTACTTACTAACTTGGCTAACAACATGAACCAAACCAGATTGAGTACAAACTATTGCATACATTAAGCAACCAACTGCACTGGCATAAGGAACCTTTATCATATCTTCATTCTCATTAATTTTTTGGAGACATTAACAAGATGAGAACTTAAAATGATTAACTAAAAAATTGCTAATCAATTTAGACTTACTCATCCCAAATCCGTCAATGACTTATTCTTTTATTAATTATAATGATGATGATTAAAATTTTCAAAATTACAAGATCATACTTATGAGTCCGAACTAAGCATCATACTCTAACCATGTATAAGTACAAAAATATTCGTATATTATGAATCTAACCCAATACGCTTCACTCATATTTCTTATATAAGGCATACTCAACTAGAGTTGGCACATTATACTTGGGTGGATCTAAAAAAGTTGAAATGACTGTAAAAGGTAGGAAGCTAGGGTTAAAATGGGAAAGATGGGGTTGGGGTGCAGATGGAATGGTAGTAGCACAGGAAAAGGCAGGCGTGGGCGTAGATAGGGCAGGCGGCAGGGAGAAGTAAGTGAAGAATAGTGGTGAGGTGAGGGGACATAATAAAATGCAAGGAATTGAAGGAATTTATGATAATGCATGTTTACGAGGAGGAGAGGTTCAAACTTCAAAACACAGAGATACGGATAGATCGGAGTATATGGAAATAATGCAAATATCCTCTTCTCATCTCTGCCCCAAAATAACGGCTGCATTATTATGCTCAGCTCTCACCTCACTCACTAGTCCAATTCCTCATCATTTTGTCTATCACCTTTTTCCTAATTATTCTAATCCCCTCTGTCCTCCCCCCATAATCATTATATCATCCCAACAAATCTTTTCTTCTGTACTTCTTGGATTGGAGAACCACAACCATCATTCTACTTGTAGCTATATATATATTAGCAAAATTATTTGCACGAGTGGAAAAATAACATTATGGATTTATGATTATTTTATTTTAAGAGATAAATCTATTTAAAATTATCACAATTCAATTCAGTCGTTTTAATCTGATTCGAAAGTACTACAATCTAATCACGTATAAAACTTAAACATAGCGCACTAGGTCAATTCTCATGTACTAATTCCCAACTCAAGAGATGGTCGTGGTCCAACATTGAGGACTAGTCCTCATGAAAGGTGTCGGTTGAAGGTATTTGTAACAGTACTATGAAAAGCATCCTTAATGGCCACAATGACTATGTTTGACAATAGGGATGCACCTTAATTGCAAACTTGTAAATTGTTGAGTACAATTCAATTGTCAAAGGCCAAGTTATTAATAAATCAGTAGATTAGTAGTTTAAGAATAATCGCCGGGGAGGGGGGGGTGATGAATTTTACCATTGAACCCGTATAGTAGCAAAATTGTATTGCGAATAATATATATAATCATTTTTTATCCTTTTATACATAATCGTGGCAATGAGTCAGTCATAAGATAATAGTCCACGTGAATCAATGTGGGAGGTAGTCTTGGTCTAACTTTGAGGACCAAACCATATATATGAAGAATGTTTGTGGGAAGATATCACAAAAATACCACGAAAAGTCTCTATAATGACCATAATAGTCATATTGATGATGGAAATATGTTTTAATTGTGAGCAATCACTTGTCAAGGACAATATAATATTCTAATTATCAAAGGATGAGCTATAACTAAATTATTAGTCTTAACGACCAACAAAATTATTGTAGCAAAATTATTTTGTGAATAATATAATATAAAAATTTTGCTTTTATACATATCATGAATTAAAATTTTTAGGAAAATGTAGTGTTGATGGAATTGATTTGAAGGGAAATGATACACGCACGTACCAATCGGATGAAAAAAGGATGATGAGGTGTCAAAATTGGGAGTCTAGGGTCGTAGCTTCACTACCCTTGGGGCCCAACTTCAACCTCAACCTCTGCAAACCTGCAACAAGAACTCAGACCAGCCTGGGACTACATATGCAACTAATTTGTTTACCCCAACTAAGACTTCAACCAGCCTAACCTAGTACAGTCAAGGATTACCACAAGTTGTAAATTGGAAAATCAAACCTAATTTTCTAACACATAACCCATCAATTTGCAACAGTTTAAGTTATACCCAGTATTTGATATAACTAACTCATCAATTTACACCAATTTAAGTTATATCCAATATTCGATATAACGTACTAGTACATCAATTTGCACAAGTTTAAGTTATACTCAGTATTCGATATAACTAACACATCAATTTGCACCAATTTAAGTTATACCCAGTATTGAGCAAGTTGTAAATTCGAAAATCAAACCTAATTTTCTAACACATAACCCATCATTTTGCACCAGTTTAAGTTATACCCAATATTCGATATAACTAACCTATCAATTTGCACCAGTTTAAGTTATATCCAGTATTCGATATAATGTACTAACACATCAATTTGCACCAATTTAAGTTATACCCAGTATTCGATATAACTAACCCATCAATTTGCACCAATTTAAGTTATACCTAGTATTCGATATAATTAACCCATCAATTTGCTTCAATTTAAGTTATACCCAGTATTCAATATAACTAACCCATCAATTTACACTAATTTAAGTTATACCCACTATTCGATATAACTAGGTCAACCTCAATAATTATTTTTACATGTTCTATTCTTGTAATCTATGAACAAATTACTAGTGAACTATCCAATTAATGATAGTCTCCAAGTGTTTCTCTTTTCAATTTTTATACATTTTTGTTGGGTGAATTACAAGAAGCAAATGCATGTTACCTATTCATACTGGTCCCGGCACATGAATTTTGTGCCTATATTATTGATATATAGAATGATTGATGCCGTACATGGCCTTAGCTTGTCTATTTTTTAAAATCGAAATTGTGAATATATAAATTATCCGTTATAATTACAATATTAACTTATGAACGAATATGTTTAATACAATCAATCTTTTCAAAAAAAAATGTTTAATACAATCAATGAATACGTCCTATTACAACAAGTAACCACATTAGTGTACAAACAATGATTTATATCATATAAACACTACCAAATTGCTCTAGTGATTATATCCTTTTATTAAATTGGAGAATGTGTATGTTCAGTTTCAACTAAAAATTTAATTAAGCTGATATTTAGACTGAACGCTTATTATTTACTCCGTATATATTATAAATGCTCAACTGGGTAGAATTGAATTTTTTGCGGTCAAATCCTTGCTTGAGAGAGTGAGAGAGCTGAGATTGAGCAATTATACTTTAGGTCATTAGTGTATGTGTATTATATAAATTAGAATACACTCAACCATGTTGTTAGAGTATGGTAGGTATATATATGAATAAATATACTCCATATAGTATGCATGTATATATATTCATCATATCCGAATTCTATATTTATCAAACATAAGCTATCAAGAAGGTAGCCTAGGTTGGTATATATGTCTTTTATGAGAATTTGAAGGGAACATAAAACAATTCTCAGCTACCACATCATTTTTTAAAGTTACACTACTATCAATTCTTTATAAACAAGCTAAGTTAGGAAATTAAAGTTGAGAGTAGAATTTCAATCAGGCAAAAGTGTTACAAAAAAAAAAAAAAAAAAAACCCTTATTATATATATAAGCTTTAAGGAGATGTTACTATATATGCAATTATGCATATTGAATGAGTTAACACCTTTTGGCATGCAATAATATATCTCTAAAGTGTAGCAAATTAAGTTAGTTGATCAATCCGGTCCAACTTAGACCTTTAAAGAAAAATCCTAAAAATGATTTATTGTATTGTATGGATACATAATCTCCTTAAATTAGCAAAGTTTGACTATTGGTACTGAATTTTCCATTCCATATATTAACCCCATCCATCTTTAAATACATACAATAATGCAGTGTGTACCAAATTTGTAATGATGATTTTTAGATCACTCACTATTAGCTGGAGTAGTAAATAGCATTACAGAGCTGATAATTCATATTGAGTGAGTAGTCTAACCCTCGGGGCCAGGAATTTTGTCTTTTGTGAACAGGCCGGACAGTGAACTCAGTGAATACTTAATAATTACAATAATTCAAGAAAACATAGAACTTAACCCATATTTAGTACTAAGATGTTTCATGAGCTAGGTAGCTAGGGGAAATGGAGAGAAGAAGTGGCCATGTTGTAGGAGTTGAGGGAGAGCTCAAGGGAAGCCCTAGATGCAGACCCATTGTCGTCGTAGTGGTACCACTGGTCAGTGTTGGTGTAGTATCCGCCGCCGTTGAACGACTCCTGCGGCGGCTTGCCGCTGTAGTTGTGGTGGTGGTGGTGGTGATCTGTGTGTACTGGGAAGAGAGGAAGGGTTTCTGGCTCCTTCTGATCATCTTCGTCTTGCTGATCCTCTTCTAGGGTTTCATGATCATCATAAGTGGACTTGATCTTTTCCAGAAAAGGGTAGTATGGGGTTGATGAAGAGTAGGGATGATGATGATGATTATCTACCCCAACCCAACCATAGTTTGGAGACGCCGCCATTACACACCCATTCCCATTGCTTCCTGCTGATATTGAGCAGTCCTGCTTGAAATAACATAACATAACATTATATTACCAACATTTAACCTTAAACATAAACACCAACCAAACTGGTCGGACTGTTGACTTGGTAATATAGTGGTGGCCGGTTTCCTTGTTATTAAAAGAACATTTTTTAGCATATATTACGTACCCTGAAGCTCCTCTCCATAGCCACAGTGTTTCCATAGCCGCCATAGTTTCCTATCTGACCAACAGCCACCATTCCAGGTGAAGAAGACGCTGGAAACCAAAAAAAAAAAAAAAAGAAGAAGGAAATAAACCATCAAATATGACATATGGTGTAGTTTTTTCTTGATCTTTCTTTGAAATCTTTAAAACAAAAATAAAAAAAAGTAAATAGAAAAACTAAGAAACCTGGATTGAAGGTGGAGCACTGATCAGATCTCCAAACGCCTCTCTGCATTTGCATGGAGAAGGTGGCGGCGGCGGCGGCGGCGTCAGGGGCGGTGGCGGAGACGGTGAGGCGCTTCTTCTGGCGCTCCCGGGCCTTGTGGTTCTGGAACCAGTAAAAGACGTTCTTCCCCTCTATCTTCCCGTACTGCCTCAGCTTGGCGGAGATCCTCTGAATCTGGTCCGCCGTCGGGGACCTCACTCCATTATTGTAGTAAAGCTCCTTCAAGATTCTTATCTGCTCCGTTGTCGGCGTCCACCTCGTACTGCTTTGCCTGCACAGGTATCCCCCGCCGTTAACGTTGCTGTTCTTGCTCCCACTCCCTCCTCCCTCTTCGTTCCCACCGCCCTGCTGGGCTTGGGTTTGATGATAGTATTGTTGTTGTTGAGGTTCCATGGCAGCAAAAGTATAGTACGTTGCAGGTGGAACAAGAAGAGAAGAAACAGAAGCAAGCAAATGACCTAACAGTGAGAGAGAGAAAGAGAAAGAGAAAGAGAAAGAGAAAGAGAAGGAGAGAGAGAGAGTTGGTGTCAGTGAGAGTGCATGAGGAAGGAGAGATAGATCGCCAGTTATAAAGAACTGGTTAGGGGTTTGTGAGGACATTCTATACTTTCATCGTACAATCTCAACCGTTATTCATTTTTTCTCTTTTGTTTCTTTGGTTAAATGTTATAATGCAAACACCAAATTCTATAATTTCATAAATACTCTAAACAATTCATTTAATTAAATATAATCTCTCTCTTTTCTTTACTTCATATAGAATTTGTGTAGTATAGGGTTCATGTGTGCCAAAAATTCGAAACTTAATTAATCCCACTAATAATAATAATCTCAACCATCAACTCATAATCTTTTTTTTTTTTTTTCTAAAAAAAAAAAAAAGAAGAAAAAGACAGCCATAGTGTACAAATCTTATACTAAGATCGATCATCAAATAAATTTAAAATTGTCCATTTTAGTAGTAAAACTATACTTTATTGATGTTGGGCAGTAGCTCAGAGAGTCGAATTCAGCATTCTGCCATCGAAATAAGTATAAAAGATATAAAGTTGTGTCTTTATTAGTTTTTTTTTTTTTTTTTTTTTTTTGGATATACCCCGTGTTTCCACCGTCGAACGCAGTGATTAATCACCTCACTGAATTGTAGGCACCTCTTTTGGGTGAGAAAACTGGCTTGGAGATTTAAGGAGGCACTTCTTTTGGGTGAGAAAACTGGCTTGGAGATTTAAGGAGGCACCTCTTTTGGGTGAGACAACTGACCTGAAAATTTAAGGAGGCACCACTTTTGGGTGGGACAACTGGCCTGAAGATTTAATGATGGATGAGTCCCTTGCACTCAACCACACTCTCCAGGTTTGTGTCTTTACTAGCTAGCTACTAGCTCTGACTTTTGGCGCAATGAAAAAGCACTTGATCCTAACAATTTGTATCATATCAATCCGAACATCCTGCTATCGAAACATGACGATGACTACTATGCAAGTATAAGGAAATAAAGTTGCGTTTTTGTAATTTACTATAACTTTAAACACTTGATCTGACAATTGAGGACTATATATGCTCTCTAATTTTTGTTAGTTAGTTGATCATCATATCAGTGCAACTAAATATTTGAATTTGTTTTGTAATGAGTAAGAATGAAATGGGGTGTTAAGAAGATAGATAAAAATGGAAGTGTTAATTAATTAGGGATCTGGGGAGGAGCACATGGAGGTGATAAAGATCAGAGAAGGAAATCAGAGGGATATCTGGGGGAGAAGGACTGAAGTTGACAGAGCATGGGATAACAAAAAGGAAGGGACAAAAGAGGGACTAGAAAGAAAGATGGATAGAAAGAAAGAAAGAAAGATAGATAGAAAGAAAGAAAGAAAAAATAAATAAATAAAATTAAAGGGTTAATTGGATGGTATTCAGATTCAGAGGAGATGATGAGTTGCTTGGATGAAAAGGCATCACAAAAAGTTACTATGATGCATGATTGTATCTTAATATGATATATATATACTTTCAATAATTTTGATGAATGAACTAAAGTTAAAGTTATATAAAACAAGAGAGGATTCTGATGGAATGAATGAATGAATGTTTCTTTCCAAATCATAGCTTGCTTTTATCATTTTAGGGTATTAATTATACTTTTCTAAAAAATATATATTATTCTACAGTAAAAATTAAATTATTTAAAATAGTTTGTGCCCAATAACTGTCTACAAATTGATCAACTTATTATGAATTTATAATATGAAATCTTACCGAATTATATGCGGGAGTTTATGATAAAGTTTGTTGCATACCCTAAAGAAAATATGGAATTTTTTTTTTCATATGTAACAATAATGTTTGTAAAAAAAAATATGGTGCAGTTATGGCCTGGGAACCCCATTTAATGTTTCTTCTTAGTGTCGAAAAGTAGCATTGATGTCAGAGTCATCTGAGGAGTACTTCTCACCAAAAGTACATCAAGTTTAATGTAGGAGTCGTATGTTTGTGCTTTTGTAAATTTCACTGACTAATTCATTCTTACCCACCTTTAATTTGTAACTTGAGCATTAAATTTGATAATATCTTTTTTTGTAATATGGAAAATCACAATAGTGTATGTGCAATCAATTGTTATGCTGTGGAACCGTGTCCAAAGTGGACACAGTTCTATATTCATAATTACTGAACTCTATATTGATAATTATAAAACTCTATGTTTATAATTTTTGAACTTCACATTCATAATTATTGAACTCTATATTCACAATTACAAAACTCTATGTTCATAACTGTAAAACTCTATGTATAATTTTTGAACTTCATATTCACAATTATTGAACTCTATATTCACAATTACAAAACTCTATGTTCATAATTATAAAACTCTATGTTCATAATTTTTGAACTTCATATTCACAATTATTGAACTCTATATTCACAATTATTGAACTCTATATTCACAATTACAGAACCCTATGTTCATAATTATAGAACTTTATGTTCATAATTATAGAACTCTATGATTATAATTTTGACAATTTTGAAACCGTGTCCACCTTCCACGGCATAATTTGCCATGCACCATACTAAAAGTTTAAGTTATATGATCAACATGCATACCAACAAAAGACCACACCATAGCTGATAATAGTGTGATTATAAGTCAATAAGCTTTTTTTAGTGTATCCAAGGTTTTCACCGTTGGACACAGTGATTAATTCCCTTGCTGAATTGTAGACATCTCTTTTGGATGAAACAGTTTGGTCTGGAGATTTAAAAATGTTCTATAGTCCATACCCAACGCTAATGATCGAACCATTTCCCTTCCATTTAACCACACCCCTAGGTTTATAAGTCAATAAAACCTAATCAACTTAACTGATGTTGTGCCATATTTGTAATAGTTTTATACTTTATCAAGTATCTTTTTTAGTCTAAATAACTAATGTCCTACTACTGGAATTCGATTCTGTAACTATCTAAATGATAAGAATACAAAGTGTCATCACATTTACGTAATAGTTGATTTCATTTAATAAGCTATTTCCGATAGTTAAATATAAAATTTCATTTATGTATGGTCAGAAAGTTGTGTAACAATAAATTAAAGAAAAGAAAAGGTCCATCATTTTCAGAAACGCCGCATATGAATCGTCCAAGCTGCAACTTTTGGTCTAAATTAAAATCTACTCCGCCCGGCCTACTACCATAGACTATAAGCTTTTCTTTCTCCACCCACTCATTAGAGTTCTGTACTGTCTTTTATGCTCGAAATGACTTGTCTCAACTCCATTCCACACTCACAATACCTACCTTCATTACCACCTTAAACCTTAACTAATGACACCCTTAATTACTCCCATAATGTTTGTCAGTGTAACTATCAAATGCCCATTAAAACGGTATAATCCTGAACTCAACTCTTCAAGTCTCTATCCATCAACCTGCAGATTAATTAATAATATAGTGGTGGTGGTATACTTGGGAATAATTAATACCAGGGGTCCCTAGGAATGGCTATTCCCCTTGCAAAGGGAATAGCTCATTCCTGGGAATGCTATTCCCAGCCATGAAAAGACAAACCAAACAATGGAATAAGTCTATTCTCGGGAATGGTATTTCATTCCAAACCTATTCCATGACCAAACACGCTGTTAGTGTGCTGGCAGTAGGAACGGGGGATTAGTCTTCTGGTTATCGGCTGGAGGGATATCTTATCAGCCAATTTTAACTTTTTTGACCACTATTAGTTGTTTGACTTGGTTAAACAGTCAATATAAGTGTTTGATTAATCAACTTTTTGTAACAGCTTATTACTCCAAAATGTTAAAATTCGAAAAGCTGCTCACGATCAGCTTTTTGAGAAAATAAATTATACTTTTAAATGTTATTTTGCATGTAACAAGCTATCAGCTAACGGTTAAATTACCAAACATCTTTCTACAACTAGTTAATGTTATCAGCTAGTCAAACCCGCTAACAGTTATTTGTCAAACAGCCCGGCAATAATGAATTTGATTCTTTAGATCTCTACTAGCAATCTGGACAGGATGGAGCATTAAGTAAAAGTTGTGGGGTGGTAGCATTGCTAAGCTAAGTGGTACTGCACAGATCAGATTCTGATCTCTAAGCCAAGCTTTGAACCAAAGTTTTGAAAATTTGGTTTTAATACAGTCTGCCTTGAAGCTTTCCATTTATGGAAAGGAGAAAGCAACAGGGAGAACCAACCAGCACTTTTCTGAGTATGACACAGACATTTCACTAATGTTAGATGGGTGGATCACATGAGAGAAATTATACATATATATATGTATATAATATAAAATAGAAATATGTTTGTGAACTTGTCTTGTGTTGACAATCTTTCCTCACCACAAAAAGATTTCAACATATATATGCGATCTGATCTGATGATTCATCTTGGTTAGGTTACATACACAACTGCGTGCTAGCCTCACCTTATATTTAGCTCCAAAATAAATACTATATAGTATAATCTTAATTTGTCAAATTGAAGTTTTATTTTTTTTAAAATGAACGTAAATAATTATTCCATTCTTTCAAAAATCATTTTGTTTTCAAGAAGCATTTGGTTTGTGTTTGTTAAAATTCACTTTATTTCTTTCATTTCCTGCTGTGTTAGTTTAAGAGGATGATTCTTAGAGTTTCCTGTTTTGTGTTTGCGTTTGAATGTGTCTTGTTTTGATGGTGATGGAAGAGAAGATTTTGATTTTTTTTTTTATTTACACTTTTTCAAGTTTAATAACACATTATATAATATATGATTGATCACTTGATGTATTTTAGAAGAAAAGGTATTATTATTGTTTAGATGTAAATCACAAGATATTTCGGGTCTTATGATCCGAGTAGTGTGAATCGGACCCGGGTTATCGGGTTATCCTAAAATTCTTCCTAACAAAGAAACTCATTTGCCATTTATACTATCTCATTAGCTTATTTGAATAAGTGTGACCCATTTTAAATTTCCGTGTGTATAGATACATTAGTTTATTTAACATTAAAGTTAAACTTAACAAACATATATATATATATATATATATATATATATATATATATATATATACACACACACACACATTGATTTACGGGGAGGCTATAAGCTTATAGCCGTTATTCGAATATGCACTCTAAGTAAAATTCACCTTGTGACCCTGACCGGTCCTCCCTAACTGACAACAAGGAAGTAAATCAACCTAATTTGTCTATAACTAATTGGCTCAAATCAAGAAAGTTGAGCTGAGTGACTCAGATCAAGAAGGCCAAATCAGCCTATAGCTGACTAACTCAAATCTCATGGAGTGTATGTATGTTGAACTTGAAATATTGAGATTACCGAACTAATTATCTGATCAACTTAACTAGGGTTGCTCGAAATGTATGTATAAATTTAGTATAATGGACACATGTTTCAAAAAATTATGAATCAAACATTAGAATGTAAAGATGCTAATTGTCTATCAAAGTAGTCATGATTATTTAGGTAGGGACATGATTTGGCAGTGAAAAAATGTGTCCTCTCTCAAATTCTCATCAAAATTCCAGGACTGCATGCTTACCTCATAAGCAGTTCTCCATAGAGTTACAATTTTCCAAACACTTAAAGAGTACACTCCCTTTTCTTTCGGGTAATCATAATTGGTTTGCTTGATGTTATGTTTCCCTTCCGATCCTATTCCATATCTCCAGAGATTTCCCAGCATCATCATAATCCCAAGATCTTCACTACCTCCCCCCCCCCCACCCCCCCCCCACCCCCTACTATTAATCTACTACAAGTCACATTTTCTTTTTGTGCTTTCTTGCTCATTAATACCTAGAAAGAGACTACCAAACCATATTGAGAAAGGTACAATACCCTCTGCATACAAACTTTGTTTTGCTGTTTATACATGTTAATAAATGTGTGGGTTTCAACTATGAAGAAACAATATTTCAAATACCCAATACTGATAGATCATATAACAATTTTGAAATTATATATGTAACAAACATTCTCGCTATAAGTAATTTTTTTGTTTACATATTATAATATTATATGTTTTTAGTAAGATGTTATTAACTCGATTGAAAGGTCTTGGGATGGTGTGTGAAGGAACCAAAGTTTCCAAGAATAGATATTACCAAGTAGTACATGGCATGGGGCACTTTGGTGAAAAAATGGTTGCTTTCATGTACTTGTTATAGGCTCACTTTCTTCAGTTCTATTTGATCGAGTACTATGCTATAGCTTATGTAGTGCAGTACTAGAGTTCTAGGTAGGTGAACCATAATTTAATGCACTTATAAAACATTATTAATTATTATTGTTAGGGTTTTGCTTATGTTGTAAGCTCTTTTCTCCAACTATATATATGAGAATAGGGAAACTCAAAAGTGCAATTATGCACATCAATATGTATCATTCTATCGTAAATGATGTACACTTTAAATTTGTATAGTATCAGGTATAAAATCAACATTGTCCCACACTTTTTAACTTTACGTTTATACTAGAGAGATGGTGCCAATTAGTACAATAGCATTTCTCTAAGAAAATATTTGACGCACAGTTAATATATAAATGATATACAGTACACCAACGATAAATCATATCGTACTACTTCATTAAAAAAAAAAAAAAAAAAAGGGTCAACATTGACCAAACTCCTTTTTGCAAATAGTAAGAATTGAATCCCAAAAATATAATAATTATAATTATTGAATTCAACGTGAGCAAACAGAGCCACAGAGGTTGCTTCATCATTCTTTTTCTTTACCATTATAATTTGAGTACGTCTTAATTGTGTGAAATCATATCAGATGATATGTATAATACTTGTAGCAACCAAATAGCTCAATCTTTTTAAATTGTAACATGCGTCCATATTCTTATCACTTTCATCTCAGGACAACTTCATGTTTTAAACTATAAGAGTTAAAAACAGGAAGTGTTTAGGTAATAAAAAAAAAAAAAAAAAGGATAAATTTTAACTATACATATAGTCCAAATCAACAGCCCATGTTGAAGATTAATATAATTCAAAAACGCGTGGTGATATTATTGTAATTTTGAGTAAGTAAGTCAATTGTCTTTGTATCTGAGTGCACATTTTCTTCTTCGAGTGCACATGTTTTCTTCTTCAAGTGCATAGTTCTCTTCTTCGAGTGCATATGTTTTGTTTCAGTACATAGTTTCTCATTTGAGTGCACATTTCTATGCCTTTGAGTGCAAAACTTTGACCTTCAAGTGCACGTTTTGTAGCTTTCAAGTGCATGTTTTCCTTTCTAAAAGTGTACAATTAATTTTTTTTCGAATTATCCCTTTTAGTGTTTTTTTTTCTCCCTTACCTTCTAGTGATCCTCTTTATGCCTTCAAGTGTTCAATTTCATGCCTACAAGTGTATGTGCGTCTTACTATTATGTAAAAAAAAAAAAAAAAAAAAAAAAAAAAAAAGGATAAGGGTCAAATAGACCCTCCAACTATATATCAATGTTCAATTAGACTCTTAAACTAAAAAAACATTCAATTAGACCCTTAAACTTGTTAGATTTGTGCAATTAACTTATTTAACAGGTTACCAAAAGGTAACTTGTAAACTTTGCTTACATGACTTGTGAAATTCTATTTAAAAATAAATAAAAAATTAAATTAAAGTTTTTAAAAACTAATTTCCTTAAAAAAAAAAATCATCTCCGTTAAACTTCTTCACACTGTCATGGCGGGTTTCTGCAAGAGACAAGAAGCCATAGCAGTAGCTGCCATGGAGATGCCCCTTGGATTCTTTGTCCATGGCAGCTGCTGACATGGACAAGAAGCCATGGCAGCTGCTTCCATGGAGTTGCCCCATGGCTTCTTGTCCATGGCAGTAGCTTCCATGGAGTTGCCCCATGGATTCTTTGTCCACGGCAGCTGCTGCCATGGACAAGAAGCCATGGCAGCAGCTTCCATGGAGTTGCCCCATGGCTTCTTGTCCATAGCAGTAGCTGCCATGGACAAGAAGCCATGGCGGCTAGGCTGCCATGGACGAACGATTGCCATGGCAGCGAGCGGCCATTTTTTTTTTTTTAATTTAACTTTTTATGAATAAATATTATTATTTTAATATTTATAAAATATAATTTTTAAAAAATATTAATCTAAGTGGCATCCTATGTGGCATGTGATCTAGAAGTAACATGCTATCATAGGTCAAATGGTTAATTGCACAAATTTAACAAGTTTAAGGGTCTAAATGGAGGTTGTTTTAGTTCGAGGGTCTAATTGCACTTTGGTTTATAGTTAGAGGGTCTATTTGACATTTATCCCCCAAAAAAAAAAAATACTTAGCATTCCTGTGAACCTTTTTTTTTTCCTTCTAGTGCAAGTTTTGTAGTCTTCAAGTGCATATTTTTTTTTGCCTTCAAGTACGTGCACAATCTGGGCCAGTATTTGTTATATCTTTTGCATTCTTTTCAATAACATATAACTAAATTTCTAATGAAATTTGTGAGATTTATAAACGATTTGTATAGGTAATTGCTTTAATAACACTTAAGTTTGAATAACTTTTTTTTGGTACCATAAATTGCATCAATTGCACATCTATTTACATTCGGTGCATAATTTTTGCCTTCAAGTGCATAATTTTGAGCTTTCAAGTGCACAATTTTTATTAATTCGTAAGAATTTTTTTTTTCTTAAAGAGCATGGATGAATTCAATGACTGAGATTTGTGCACATTTTTTTTACTGGAGAGTCATTCGTACATGACCTAAACTTATATATATATATATATATATATATATATATATATATATATATATTGTGCAATACAAATTTCATCATCCATATGAGTAACCTCACACATACAACCCATATTTGTCTTTCCAAATTTGTTAATTGATGCTTCACTGAATCATGAGATTAATATCAATTTAGTTCTAGTGAGAATAGCATCGCCCCTATGAAGTATGTTTATAAGAACATCTTACAAAGCTGGCTTCAGCAAAATAAGAATCAATGCATCTGTTGCAAGCTCTTGGTCATGTCCATTTTAAGCCATATATATAGAGTTTTCTTTAACTTATAAACCTTATTATCTTCTTCTTTCTTACTGGCAAAAACTTGTGTAATACCGTCTCACGGATCTTTGTCCGTGAGACGAGCTGAATCGGGTCAAGATCAAATGTAATACATATACAGGAAAATGTAAAACTAATAAGGAATAAAATGTCTATTATTAATATTTTTGAAAGAAAAATGTAATACTTCTACATTTTAATTTAAAAGTATTATATTTTTTTTTCAAAAAGTATTACATTTTCCTTATAAGTAACAAACACTTGCCAATATTACTTATAAGAGAAAATGTAATACTTTTACATCAAAATGTAAAATTATTACATTTGTCATCAAAAGTATTAGATTTTTCCTTATAAATAACAAATACATTATTCCTAATTATTATTACGTTTTTCAGTATAAGTATTATATATATTCAAATATTGACCCGTCCCAATCCGTCACACAGATATAGATCCATGAGGAGGTCTCACAAGTGTTACTCTTCTTTAAATTACATACTGCATGTATGCAAGTCGTACATGTATCTCTTCTTCATTTTTTATTTTTTTTTTCACAAATAATATAATGCAGATCAGACTTAACAGCTATCTTGATGTATCTTTTTGTTATTTTGAGTAACAAGCTAAGATTAGAGAAATAAACATGTGGGCAATATCAAGTATACTCACAAGAACAAAAACCTCAAAATAATCAATAGTTTTTTTATTGGAACATTTTGCTACAAGAGTGTTGCCTTGGAACATTCAAATTAAATTTACTATTGGACTTATACTTGATTTTGTATACCAACTATATTCCAATTAGCTTCATTTTGGAAGGTAATTTTGTCAACACCCAAATACTTTTTTTTTTTTTTAATGACATGAATTTCTTCACTCATAGCTTAAGCTATTGTGTTCATATAGTAACATCCTCAAACGACATAAAGTTACAAAATTCAAAAAGAATAAATTGAACAATTTCTTCATCAAGTCATTTTCATTATCGTAAACATATAATATTGCAAGTGAGCTAGTAACTGGTGCTCACATTGAGATATTCAAACTGATGATATAGGCTGTGAAGGAAATTGAACATTACTTGGAACCATCTTCTCATCAACATTATTATCAAGAACAATATGAATATAATAACAATTGAACTTTAATTTCTTCTTTATTAATAGGTCAATTTAATATATATATATATATATATATATATATATATATATAATATTTATCAAAAGTGACATTATGACTTCTAACATATTTAATTTCTTAGTCTAAGGCTTGTACAATTTATTATAAGTCTGTATCACTATACTCAATAAAAATGCACTTCTCATCTTATCATTAAGTTTTTTTTTTTTTTTTTTCTGAACTAGTTCAATAAATAAATAAATAAATAAATAAATAAATATATATATATATATATATATATATATATATCTATATATCTACAATATATACTATCTACTATCTACTATATCTACTATACTAATAAGAGCCCAAGTGAGTTAGGCCTATAATGGGTAGAAAAAATGGCGGTTACAGATTTTAATCAAATGAATGACTCAGATTGATTAAAAGATTGATAAGATTTCAATTTTACACTAGAATTTCCTAAAATACCCACACACCGTTACTAATTCCGTTAAAATCTACTATACTAATAAGAGCCCAAGTGAGTTAGGCCTATAATGGGTAGAAAAAATGGCGGTCACAGATTTTAATCAAATGAATGGCTCAGATTGATTAAAAGATTGATAAGATTTAAATTTTACACTAGAATTTCCTAAAATACCCACAAACCGTTACTAATTCCGTTAAAATTTTAAGAATTGCCGTTAGTTCACCGTTAACTTACTCATTGATTTCAATAAAATAAAATTTAAAAAAAAAGAAAAAAAAAGGTCTTAGGTTCAACCCCATCCCAATCAAAGTTGGCATAATTAGTACTCTATTTTACTCTTATTAAATTATATAAATAATAATTTAGTAACTACAACAAAAAATTATAGATATGCATTTCTTTAATTTAGAATTATGTATTTATGTGTCCACAATGCTTTTATTCAAAAAAAAAATTATTCATTATCAATAAATTAAATAAGAGAAATAATTGTATTAGTTATATTGTCTTTATTTTTCTACAATATAAAAATTCTTTATATTCAAATTTATTAATTGATTATATTCGCTACATTGTCCTTACAATGTCTTAATTCAGTGAAAAAAATTATTAATTATCAATAAATTAATTAAGAGAATTATTTTCATTAGTTATATTGTCTTTATTTTTCTCAAATGTAAAAATTTTTACCTTCAAATTCATCAATTGATTATATTCACTACATTGTCTATTATCTTTTTTGTGCACTATTTTCCTAATTAAATATCAAAGTTATAATACAAAATAATGCTATATATTTATTTACCAAGTATTTTATTAATACCATGAAAAAATTTAAAAATAAAATATATATATATATATATATATATACTAATAAGAGCCCAAGAGAGTTAGGCCTATAATGGGTAGAAAAAATGGCGGTCAAATTTTTTAATCAAATGAATGGCTCAGATTTGATCATATTTTAATTTTTTCTTAAGATTTACTAATTTATCCTTAATTATATGATTATCCGTTAACTTTTCCGTTAAATATTATTTTCTCCGTTAGTTTCTGTTAGTTCACCGTTAACTTACTCATTGATTTCAATAAGAAAGGTCTTAGGTTCGAATCTCATCCCAATCAAAATTTTCATAATTAGTACTCTATTTTACTCTTACTAAATTAAAAATAATAATTATGTGGTCTAATGGTATCCGGGTTGGACTTCCATTTGGAAGATTATGAGTTCAAGCCTCAGTGGAGGCGTTATTGGTTCTTTGTGTTTCAGTAGGTTGAGAAAGTATATGAACAGATACTACAATGTAATAGAGCCAGTACAAAAAAAAAAATTAAAAATAATAATTTAGTAGCTACAACAAAAAATAATACATATGCATTTCTTTAATTTTGAATTATGTGTCTATAATTTCTTTATTCAAAAAAATTATTCATTATCAATAAATTAAATAAGAGAAATAACCAGGACTATGTGGTCTAATGGTACCCGGGTTGGACTTCCATTTGGAAGATTATGAGTTCGAGCCTCAGTGGAGGCGTTATTAGTTCTTTGTGTTTCAGCAGGTTGAGAAAGTATATGAACAGATACTACAATGTAATAGGACCAGTAACTTTCAAAAAAAAAAAAATAAGAGAAATAATTTTATTAATTCTATTGTCTTTATTTTTCTCCAATATAAAAATTCTTTACATTCAAATTCAACAATTGATTATATTCACTACATTGTCCCTACAATGTCTTTATTAAAAAAAATTATTCCTTATCAATAAATTAATTAAGAGAAATAATTTTATTAGTTATATTGTCTTTATATTTCTCCAATGTAAAAATTCTTTACATTCAAATTCATCAATTGATTATATTCACTACATTGTCTATTATCTTTTTTGTGCACTATTTTTTTAATTAAATATCAGGTTATAATACAAAATAATGCTATATATTTATTTACCAAAGTATTTTATTAATACCATGACAAAATTTAAAAAATATAATTAATAAAGTCAATTATATTAACTATTTGGGAAATTTGTTGACAAAGAGAGTATTCAAATCACACAACAAATTGAAGTGAGAACTGCCTCGCAATGTCCTTGTTTGACATCAACAGTTAGCGAATTTGAGTAGCGAATTATATCAACGGTTGATAAACAGATATTTGAAAAAAATTTATATCAAGGGTATACATATATTTAATAATAATAATAATAATAATAATAATAATAATAATAATAATAATAATAATAATAATAATAATAATAATAATAATAATAATAATTTTTAAAAAAATAAAAAAATAAAAAAAAATATATAATTAAGTCAATCATATTAACTACTTAGGAGATTTATTTACAAAAAAAGTATTCAAATCACACAACAAATTGAAATGGGAAACTATTTCACAATGTCCTTGTTTGGCAATCAGCGGTTATCTCTTCAATATTAGTAGATATTTAATATTTTATGCCCTAATTTTTATTTGCTCTCCCTTATGTCCCGTATTTGGTTTCAAAATACCTATACAATTATTTTATTGACAATTATAATCATTCTTGACTATATTATCTTGCATTCGTAAACTTAAAATTACCTATTTAAAACACAAATTCAACATTCAATTATCTATGCATGAAAAATTTCAATATAATATTGCCTTGATATACTTTAAAGTATTTACTAAAGAAAAACATTGGGCATTATCCCAATCGCGCAGTGCGCGTAAAAAACTAGTATAATTAATAAAGTCAACCATATTAACTACTTGAGAGATTTTGTGACAAAGAGAGTATTCAAATCACAAAACAAATTGAAGTGAGAACTACCTTGCAATGTCCTTGTTTGACAATCAGCAGTTAGCGGATTATATTAGCGGATTTGACCAACGAATTTATTTAATTATTAACATTGGGTAGAAAAAATGACCGCCAAATTATTAAATCAAATGAATGGTTCAAATTGTTCAGGTTTTAATTTTTTTAAAATTTTTCTAATTTATCCTTAATTATATGATTATCCATTTAACTTTTTCGTTAAATACCGTTAATTCACCGTTAGTCTAATTCTAATATTAACGTCTAATATAGAATTATAATTACACCATTAATCTAATTCTAATATTAAAGTCTTAATAGAACTTAACCACAAATCCTAATGTCGAAATCTCCTCAAACAATATTAGTATATATTTAATATTTTATGCCCTAATTTTTATTTGTTCTCCCTTATGTCCCGTATTTGGTTTCAACCATACCTATACAATTATTTTATTGACAATTATAATCAATCTTGACTATATTATCTTGCATTTGTAAACTTAGAATTACCTATTTAACCCGCACGGGCTTAGCTCAATGGTTTAGTGGGCAGTATTTGGGAGAATAGACCAAGGTTTGAACCTCGGTGGCGGCAGTGCGGGAATTATGTCCAAAGTGGGCAGATTTCTTGTTCGCACCGGCATTTGGTCCTGTCTGCTAAACCATTGAGTCACCGTGATTTACAACTTCCTACAATGCTCTGTCGGGTCAGAGTGTGGGGGGCCCTTGGGGTAGGGGACTCAACCTTTGGGAGAAGAATTACCGTACCTATTTAAATACGCAAATTCAACCTTCAATTATCTATGCATGAACAATTTCAATATAATCTTGCCTTAATATACTTTAAAGTACTTATTTAAAAAAAAAAAAAAACATTGGGCATTATCTCAATCGCGCAATGCGCGTAAAAAAACTAGTATACTAATAAGAGCCCAAGAGAGTTAGGCCTATAATAGGTAGAAAAAATGGCGGTCACAGATTTTAATCAGATGAATGGCTCAAATTGATTGAAAGATTGATCAGATTTAAATTTTACACTAAAATTTCCTAAAATACCCACACACCGTTACTAGTTCCGTTAAAATTTTAAGAATTGTCGTTAGTTCACCGTTAACTTAGTCATTGATTTCAATAGAAAAAGGTTTTAGGTTCGAATCTCATCCCAATCAAAGTTGACATAATTAGTACTCTATTTTACTCTTATTAAATTATATAAATAATAATTTAGTAGTTACAACAAAAAATAATACATATGCATTTCTTTAATTTATAATTATGTATCCACAATGCCTTTATTTTAAAAAAAATTATTCATTATTAATAAATTAAATAAGAGAAATAATTTTATTAGTTATATTGTCTTTATTTTTCTTCAATATAAAAATTTTTTATATTCAAATTTATTAATGGATTATATTCGCTACATTATCCTTACAATGTCTTTATTCAGTGAAAAAAATTATTAATTATCAATAAATTAATTAAAAGAAATATTTTCATTAGTTATATTGTCTTTATTTTTCTCAAATGTAAATATTTTTACATTCAAATTCATCAATTGATTATATTCACTACATTATCTTTTATTTTTTTTTGTGCACTATTTTTCTAATTAAATATCAAAGTTATAATACAAAATAATGCTATATATTTATTTACCAAGTATTTTATTAATACCATGAAAAAATTAAAAAAATATAATTAATAAAGCAAACCATATAACTACTTTGAAAGATTATGTGACAAAGAGAGTATTCAGATCACACAACAAATTGAAGTGAGAACTACCTCGCAATGTCCTTGTTTGACAATCAGCAGTTAGCAGTTAGCGTTAGCGGATTATACTAGCGGATTTAACTAGCGAATTTATTTAATTATTAACATTGGGTAGAAAAAATGACCGCCAAATTATTAAATCAAATGAATGGTTCATATTGTTCAGGTTTTAATTTTTTTCTTTTAAGATTTTCTAATTTATCCTTAATTATATATATTTTTTTTGAATGCTACAGCTCTATTAGATTGTAGTATCTGTTTCATATACTTTCTCAACTTACTGAAACACAAAGAGCTAATAACGCCTCCACTAAGACTCGAACTCACAACCTTCCAAATGGAAGTCCAACCCGGGTACTATTGGACCACATAGTCCTGGTTATCCTTAATTATATGATTATTCATTTATTTTTTTCCGTTAATTCACCGTTAGTCTAATTCTAATATTAAAGTCTAATATAGAATTATAACTACACCATTAATCTAATTCTAATATTAAAGTCTTAATAGAACTTAACCACAAATCCTGATGTCGGAATCTCCTCAAACAATATTAGTATATATTTAATATTTTATGCCCTAATTTTTATTTGTTCTCGCTTATGTCCCGTATTTGGTTTCAACCATACCTATACAATTATTTTATTGACAATTATAATCAATCTTGACTATATTATGTTGCATTTGTAAACTTAGAATTACCTATTTAACCCGCACGGGCTTAGCTCAATGGTTTAGTGGGTAGTATTTGGAAGAAGAGACCAAGGTTTGAACCTCGGCGGTGGCAGTGCGGAAATTATGTCCAAAGTGGGTAGATTCCTTGTGCGTATCAGCATTTGGCTCTGACGGCTGAACCATTGAGTCACCGTGATTTACAACTTCCCACAATGCTCTGTCGGGTCGGAGTATAGTGGGCCCTTGGGATTGTGGACTCAACCTTTGGGAGAAGAATTACCTATTTAAATACGCAAATTCAAGTACTTATTTTAAAAAAAAAACATTGGGCATTATCCCAATCGCGCAATGCGCATAAAAAATTAGTATATATATATATATGGGCATAAGCTAAGCAACCAAAAATCTTAAGATGTAGGTCTAATATTACAATCAATTAATTACAACAGTTATCTTAACTTCTACTGCATGCATTATTCAAATCTTTAATTTCTTGAAACCACAAAATTATCTTTCAGTTTCTGAAGCTCTACATCGCCGCTACCTTCTACAAGCATCCCGACAAACTTGGCAGTCAGACATTCAACATTAAACAACCTTATATACTTCGCCTGCAAATATATATATGTATCTGTTGGGCAGAGCGGTGGAAGAGGCCAAGTCTAACACCCAATTATTAGGAAATTATTAGGTATAGCAATCAATTTTATCTTAAATAGAATCACAATTTCACATATATTTTTTTTGAAAGGAAACTTCAAAGTAATATTAAACTGAAGAAATTAGATGTTCAATACAAGACGGGATAGACGAAAACCAATTAGAATGACCAAATTAAACTGCGAACTAGCTGCTCAAAGCCAAAACATGAACACATTTGTTCACTGATTCAAAGTGTGATTTAAGATTCCGGCAATGATTTAAGATAGCACCTGCATAAGAGTTATCCGGCTTTGCTTCAT